AGGGGGATACCAAGTTGAGCCAAAATTCAATCAAGAACCATGGAAAACATCAGGACTTGGGATAGGAAGAGGGGAGGGAAGGAAAACAGATTAGCTGAAAGTCTATTTACAGAACTGTCATGCAGGCAGCTAAGTTTATAATTCCCAAGCAAAAAAGGAGAGGATTCATCTCTGGAGAGATGGAATACCTACAGAGAATAGCCCTCCAGACACTAACAATTGGGGATTCCCCTAGAGAAGAAGCCAACTTTCTGCCCAGTCACCCTGCAGTGAGCCCAGAGCTGACACTGAGAATTTACCACCATCTTTTACTACCTCACCCTTAAACATGAACAGAGAACAGATCACTAGACATGTGCAGAAAACCTCCCATCACAAAGAGAGTCCAAAGCAAAAAAGCAAAAAGAAAATACACGGAAGAAACAAAGGCAATGTAGGGAGAAGAAAAACACTAAAAACAACAATAAAAACAACTGTAACTAATATGCTTATGGAGATGAGATATTACATACATGAAGCAAGAACAGGTACTACAGAAGAAAAGTCATCAGTGAACAAGCAAGCTCTGAAATTAAAAACTGGATATTAAAATAAAAACAGAAGAGGGAGAAGACAAACCCAAAACAGCAGAAGAAAGAGAGAGGAGGAAGATAAAAAATAGAAGATAAAAAGATAAAATTAAAGAATCAGCCCATAAAGTCCAACATCCAACTAACAGAAGTTTCAGAAAGAATTAAGAAAATGGAGGAGAGAAAATAATCGAAGACCTAATAGAAAATTTTCCCAGAAATAAAGAATAAATCTGAGTCAAAAAGGCCCAGAAAAATGAAAGAGAAACATACCCAGGCATATTATTATGACGTTTCAGAGTAACAATGATTAAAAAAAACTATCCAGAAAGCATCTAGAAAGAGAAACTAAGTCACTTACAAGGACAAGGAAACAGAAGGCATTAGATTTTTCAAAATGAGGCCCAGGACGCTACAAATAAATGGAGTAATAATTTTTAAATTCTGGATGAAAATTATTTGCAACCTGAAATCTATTCAAATTATCAATCAAGTATAAAGGTAGAAAATAAAGAAGACATTTTCAGGCAGGCATTAACTCAAAAAATTATTTTTCATGCATTGTTTCTTAGAAAGCTACTAGAAAATGTGCTCCAGCAAAACAAGAGTGTAAACTGAGAAAGATGATGACACAAGATCCTGAAAACAGGGTTTATAGCAGAGAAATAAAGGGTAGGCTAAGAATGAAAGCTGTTGAGAAGGAATGGGGGTTTTGGCACTAGGTGGGGGAATTGGAGGAAGGGTTCCGGGAGAGGAGAGGAACAATTCCCTTGAACATATGAGATATATTACTGATGAGTATGTGTAAGAGATTATGGAACATTGGTGGGGAATGAATTAACAATGTGTACCCGCAAAAAAGTAATACTAGGTAAATTAAAAAGGAATTATTAACTTTAAGAAAATGGAGAACCATATAAGAAAGGACGTGTGGTCATATTACACTATTTGACCAGCAGGGACTATTTACATAGTCAAAATATAAATCTTGACTATCAAATCACCCAAAAGCTGTTGTTTTTAATGGCATGCAGGGAAAGAAATGGGGACTCTACCATGGTTAATAAATATCATGTCTAAAATTACAAAATCAAAAGACAGCTATGAATAAATTATTTAGGAATATGGAAGTAAATAACTAAGGAAACAGTGAAACTGAGGGTTGAAAGGAACTACTTTTTTATGTCTTTTACTACTATTGACTTTTGAAACTTTCTTTTGTTAAAAACTTTCAAGAAAAGCACTGTCTTAATAAAAGAGTCTGGCTAGTATATGAAAAGTGGCTTATAAAGAAAAGAGGAGGTGGAAAAACACTAGTTAGGAAACTAAGGTAAGCCAAAGAGGGTGGGGGTGGTGGACTTGGAGAAGAGGACATATTTCAGATTTTTTAAAAGAGATAAAAACTGAAGAGACTTCCAGATGGAGTTGATATTTGTAAGGGGCGGGGGATGGGGAGTAAAGGAAAGGGCAAAACGAAGGAAATCAAGGATGACACCTATGTCCTTGGCTGCTTGTAACATGTGAGATTGGGGGCGGGGGTCACAGCAGGTGGAGGGGAGCTGGGACAGAAGGACGGACGGGTGGCTGATCTCAGATGGGAATGGAATGGGGCCGGGGGACAGGTGGTAGAAATCAAGAGTTCTGTTTTAGATGTATTACATTTGAGATGCTTCTTAGATCTCCAACTGGGGTATCAAGAAAAAAAGTTTGCTGCATGAGCCCAGGGTGCAGGAAAGAAGTGAGAGCTGGATATTAGTCATTAGTTACAGTTAATATTTAAATCTCTAGAACTGGATAAGAATCCATAGAGAGAGAACAGGAGAAATGAGAAAATAAAAATATATATTTGTATTATAACATATTATAGAAATTTAATAGAAAATAGCACGCATTTCACAGAGTAAGGGCAAGTATTAGTCCATAAATTTTTTATTTCAGAGATATGATAGGTAGATAGATGTATATATAAACTGATTGATATATGTAATTTATATACTTATGAATGTACTGGGAATAATGTAAAATGATTTCCTATGGTAGACTGTGATCAAAAAAGTCAAGAAATTTTAGAGGATGAGAAGCCAGGAAAAGATGAACAATTAGCTACCATGGCAGGAAGAGTACCACGCAAGTACAGTGTACAAAAGCCGAAAGAAATGCTTCATGGAAGAAATGCTCACTTGTATTGAATGAGTATGAGAGATGAAGTACAATTAGGGCTAATAAGTAACCATGGACTTGGCAATATGGAGGCCACTTGTTACTGACCTTGACAAGGGCAGCTTCAGTGAACAGTGGGCATGGAAAACATTATAGAATGAATGAGAGGCGAGAAAAGAGACATAACCAATATAGATAGGAGAAGGAAAACCTCCCTAGGAACCTGAAATTTGAAAATCAGAATTAGCTAGGGTATGAGGTTCTTGCGGCAGACCATGTCATAGATTTCTAACCCCCAATGTGACTGCATTTGGAGAGACGGCCTTTAAAGAGTTAATTAAGGTTCGATTAATTCCTAAGGGCAGGGCCCTAATCCAATATGACTGGTGTTCTTATTAGAAAAGATTAGGACACAGAAAGACACAGAGGAAAGACCATGTGAAGACACAGGGAGGAGACGGCCATCTACAAGACAAGGAGAGAGGCCTCATGAGAAATCAACCCTGCTGACACCTTGACCTCAAACTTCTAGCCTCCAGACCTGTGAGAAAATAAATTTCTGTTTAATGTCTGTGGTAATGTAGTTTGTTAACGGCAGCCCCAGCAAACTAATACAACGCCCTAGTTTCTCTCTCAAGTCTGGTCGGATCCTTCCCTCCTCTCCCAAATCCCTAGTCACAGCATGAAGCTACGCCATCATTAGCTCTCCCAACAAAAAAGGGCTTGGATTACTTCTTCATAGAGTCATTAGTTCTTGACCATTCCAATCAAAATGAGGTGTTCTTTTACTTACCACACCTTACCTCTCATTCCATAATGTTTTCTGAAATGAAACGCAGGGCACTTTTAGAAAAATAAGTAAAATTTAAAATCAACTAGCTATTGGGAGCTGAGAGAGCAAGTCTGATGTATGTAGCAATTAGGAATTTTTATGCCCCAAAGGCAAGTTTGGCAAATATTCTATCGAAGGTGTTGTGTGGTCCACGTGTCACATCTCCATCTCCAGGTAGCCTGCATCTCCAAATGAGAAAACAAAGCATACGCCCTCTCCTTTTTCTCTTCTTCCTCACATCCAAACAAATCACAAAGATCTGGGTTTCCTTACTTGAAGAATCTTAAACCTCTACAACTAGCCCCAAATCCTGATATCACAAGCAGGAAATTGAGAAAGGATTTTCAATTGTTTTATTATCAGAAAAGAAAGACTGTAAGTGAGAAGCTTTAACTCTGGTGCCTTAGTAAAGCAAGAAAATTAAAAATACACATACAAGTATATAAATACATAATATGCATATGCACAAGTGCACACATATCTTCTCCAAGCACAGCTGATAATGCACATTTAGCAAATTAATCATGTAATGAACAAGCCCAAATAGTATTTATTTTGAATTCTGGCCAATTATTGCATCAACCTGAACCCATACTTCAATATCATGATTATAAAAAATTCACTGACATCTGGTTTTAAACACTTCCCAAATTTTCACAATTGCTCACTTTGCTAAGAGACCTGCGGTTATCGGTTACTGTGTATAAAGAAATCAAAAAGATCTAATATTGCTCTAATACTACCTTGAGAAGAAAGTTTTATGTCCTCTCATTCCAAGAAGGAAAAAAGCTACAGCAAACAAAATAGCACCGTTATTACAGAAGACTCAGGTTACCTGACCGTGGAAGTTTAATATAGCCGCTGTTTTTAAGTTCTGCCTACTCTCAATATTTCTGTTTGGAATTTAGTTTAAGCATGAACTCGAAGCAAACAAACAATTTCACGTGTGCTTCAAACCCCACTCTGTCCCTTCCCTTTCGCTGATTAAATGGAGAAAGCGAAACCTCTCATTATCATTAGGGTCAGAACCCGTAAAAAAGAAAAAAAAAGAAAAAGAAAAAGGAGTAACCAATCAATCACTTCACCTTCGAATACAGGCCAAGGTTAAAATCTGGGCAGACTGTGATAAGAACGGCAATCAAGAGCAGACGCTGCCGGTGAAGCAGTTATCTGGTTTAACCCCGAGTCAAGATGCCCAGCCCTGGATCCTGTTCTTTCCCTCTCCAGGATGCCAGCGGGCCTGTCACGCGTCAGGGTCCCTCTCCTCTGAGCTCACTCCTGAGAAGTGGGCAAGAGTGGACAAGAGATGATTTTAAGACACTTGTCCATCCACGCCTTTTTCAAAAAAAAAAACAGCCAAAACAAGCAAGCCGGCAACATGAGTCGGGCAAGCGTGTGGACTGCGGTGCGGAACTGCCCCCGGCGGATGCCCCACTCACCGCACACCATCAGCAGCAGGACGATCAGCAGCGTGGCCACGAACACCAGCAGGGTCAGCCCGACGTTGTGCCACATCTTGGGGGGCGGCGGGGCGGCGGGCGCAGGCCGGCGGGCGGCGCGTCCTGAGCTTCAGTGGCGAGCGCCGGGCGCGGCT